GGCAGCCATAGCTGCCATAGTTGTAGTTAGTAGTGAGTGTGTGTGTGTGCTCGAGTGTTAGAGTGATGCGTGTGGGATATCCAGGGTGATCCAGTGTATGTGAACAGTGAGATGTTTGGGCGCTGAAGTCGCCATAGCCATTTGAGAGTGAACTCGTATCTGAAGCCATATCTCTGAGTTTTGAGTGGGCGCATGTCGCCAGTGTGCTGCGTTACTGTATACATGTGTGAAAAGTGTGTTTGAAAACGAATCTGATTGCACACCATTGAGCAGAATAATAATGGTGTCAAAGTTTGTCTGCTGCTGTTGGCTCTCTGTTGATTTTTATCATTTTTTTATTTGCGTGTCGCATCCTTGCGCGGCAGGAGCATGCTATTTAATAATCGTCTCTTCATCATGGGATGTTGTGTTGTGATTTCAGGTCATTTGGGCATTTCTCAAGCTAATGTACCTGTACTTGGGCATTTCTCTCGACGACAAGAAGGTTCCGAAGGCTGTAGAGAATCAAAAGATCCATCTCTCCTTTCCCTTAACTCTGTTTTACCCCAAAGAGGTGGGGTTAAGCTCATCGATGCTCCTCACGCTGGAGTCTTGTACCATGCAGTTTGTAATCTTGAGACCCATCTTAGCCATCGCTGTCATCGTGCTCGAGCTCATGGGATGGTACAACGGAATCATCTCTGCGATTTTCTCAATCGTCCTCAACATCTCAGTTTCGCTGGCGCTGTACGTCCTCGTGCTCTTCTACCACGTTTTCGTCTCCGAATTAGAGCCCCATAAACCCCTTCCGAAATTCTTATGCGTCAAGGGCGTCGTCTTCTTCGCGTTCTGGCAGGGTACGCACGTTCTCTCTCTAGACCCATACGTCAAAACCCCTGTTCGCGACACCCTTTCTGTACTGTACTGTCTACCTCTCTCCATCACACTGTCTACCTCTTGCTCTCCATCACTCGCCTGCTATCCCTGTTGCTTCAAGTCCATGTCCGTTCGATGATCGGATCCGGGGCAGACCCCTGATCGCCATCGATGACCAACTGACCAATCATGGATTACCTTCCAAATGCAAGAGAATATATGGAGAACTACAAACATGGGAAATGGTACTGAACCCCTGATCGCCGTCGATGACCAACTGACCAATCATGGATTACCTCCCAAATTCAAGAGAATTATGGAGAACTACAAACACGGGAAATGGTACTGAAACACCCACAGGGCCTCAGCGCACCACTCACAAAATGTGAAAAAGACAAAAATATGGTAGGTGCATTCTTGCCAAATCGCAGGGGAAGATACATTCCCCATTTACACATTTGGCGATCCATGCCTGATCGGCAATGCAGGTCCAAAGGTCACCAATGTGAGGAAGAGATGTAAACTGACAGAGTGGAAAGACTCAAACCAAATAGGACAGAATGATGACTATGCGGCAAAATATGACTTTCTGGCGCAGATCGGATCTCTCTCATATCCGAGGATGGGTCCATGCATAGAAGAAAAGAGGGAGAAGAAGAAGAAGAAGAAGAAGAAGATATGCATGGAAGAAAAGTGGGTCCATGCATGGAAGTCTCTCTCTCTCTCTCTCTCTCTCTCTCTCTCTCTCTCTCTCTCACACACACACACACACACGCACACACACACACACACACACACACACACACACACACACACACACACACACACAATCTGATATGACCGGTGAAGGGCAGAGCCTTGAGGCGCTGATGCACTGCTGGTGTCTCGAACGAGATAAAAACCAGCTGTGGCTGGTCGCAGACCTCCAGGATATGGCCAGGTGAGTGGACTCCTCTACCTCACCTCTGTCTCTTTCCCTTCGCTCCTACAGCGCTAAACTCTAGCTACTCTACTAGCTCTACTGGCTCTCGACTGCTCAAATGGGCAGTCTGGTGGCACAGGAAGGAAGCGAACACAGGAAGGAAGCGAGAACCTATCTGAAACAATTGGGCCGGTCTCTCCAAAATAGTGCTGGGCCGGCTGCCAACTCAAGTCGGCCTCCATCGATCTGAATAGGAACAAGCGGTTCACGTGTGAGCCGTGTGGCCCAGAAATACAGGCCCAGGCGCAGAAACTTGTGCCTTGGGCCCATAACTCAGTTCCAGGCCTTACCATGCTGCTTCAGCAGCAGGGCCTGGAAGAAAAACGGCCCAACTCCAGAATAGGATCCATGCCGAGCCTGTCCTTCACGACATCTGTTAAAATTGGAATGACACAGAGAAGATTTGCGTGGCCCCCGCACACAAGGATGGCATGAATAAACCGGGAACTGTTCCCAACAAAAAAAAAAAGCAAAAAAAAAAAAAAAAAGGGATCCATGCCCAGCCTTCAAACCGAGCTGGGCCTGGAAACGCGCGCTGCTGGCCTGAGAACAGACAAAAGCTCCTGTGTCTGGAGTCTGGACTCAGGGCATACTCGCACAAGGCCCTCAAAATCGCAAAATCGCAAAATGAGTGGCCAGATTGAGTTCTTGTAAACGAAGGACTCGATCTGGCCGCTCATTTAGCGATTCTGTGATTTTGAGAGCCTAGTGTGAGTATGCCCTCAGAACCCACAAAAACACCTTGCTGGGATGAAATCAAAGCAGAGCAAACTGGGCTGAGTACAGACAAAATCACATGCTCCTGGACCAGAACAGACAAAACACTCACATGCCTGTCTGAAATCAAAAGCAAAGCAAGCTGGACGCCAACGGGGCTAGCTCAATTGGTACACCCCCCCCCTGAACTGTTGAAACACAGACTCAAGTTCGAATCCAGATACGGTACCTTCAGATGAAGAGAATAAAACCATTCTGAATAAAATCATTCTGAATTGCCTGGGGCCGGTCAGTTCAATGATGATATCTAAAGGTCATCGCCCTTTGAAGAAGAAGAAGAAGAAGAAGAAGAAGAAGAAGAAACAGATGAGAGGACAAACGCGCCTGCACTCAGAACAGACAAAAGTACTCACACGCCTGCTACGATCAAATCAAATCAAATTGGACTGAGAGCAGACACACATGACCAAACTCAGAAAGACAAAAATCGCTCACGCCTCCCTGATATCAAAGTGTGTCCCCTCCTACTGAGTCGGGCATAAGGGGCACCGTGTTGAAGTGTTATGAACTTGGTTGTCTGACGAATTTTATCGCTACTCACGCACAGACAGTCTCATACATGCCCATACATGCATAAGAGAAGCGGAGAGGGGAGACAGAGTCCAAGCTGCACACAGGGGAAATAGGCAGCGGAAGACAGTCATGCACAGATGGGGAGAAGACACAGTGTTTCTCACTCTCTGACGAAACTCCCAACAACCAATCACAAGAAAGAACCTACGAGCTCCCAACAATCAATCACAAGAAAGAACCTGCGAGGATAACAATTGAAATTGCACTGATGATGAGCCAACTCAAACAATTATCGTAACAGAGTTTGTTCCAGTATCTCGCCACTCCCAGAACTCACACCCCACTCGCTATCCTACACCCAGTTAGTATCGCCACACCAGAATAGCGTCCCAGAGGCCAGCGCCAACCACCCTGATGAAGAACAGGTCCGGCGATGAAGTCTTCAGTGCCGATGGACAACTCTGACGAAGGAACAGGCAGCTATGGCTGCCACCACCCACGAGGACACAGTGTAGAGCCTCGATGTAGCCCGGCCAGACGCAGATACCCCAGGGGTAGATGCGCTGAGGATGCCCCAGCTATGGAAGGCTCAGACTGGGCCGGCTATGGCTGCTGTCAACAGCGAGGTCTCAGGATGCCGCCTGCAGACCGTCACCGCCACCAACTTGCTTGGCTTCTCCCATGCTGCTTCGCGAGAAATGAACTGCCAAAAAGTCCTGAACCGATGGGCCTAACCTATCTATAGACTACACTAGACCTAGACCGGACTGACTGACCGAGCGGTACCGTTTCTGTTTCAGCCTCTCGGCCTCTAGCGGACCCGGCTATAGGCTATAGGACCGTCTATCAGTATAGGCCAGTTAGGGCCTGTCTGTCCTAGGGGTAGCCCGAGCCTGCTATTCACAGCTACGGTAGTAGTAGGAAATTCCATTAGTGTTAGGGCTGTATTTTCCCAAATTGCAGATATGTCCCTCACGAATTTCCTCACAGGTAGGTTTCTCGGTTACTTGGTTCATCACCTCAGCCTGACCATTGGCTTTAGGATGATGACCAGAAGTCATGTCCAATCGTGAGTGCAGGTAATCCTTACAATAGGACTGCCACTCATCGCTGCAAAATCTGGGGTCTCTATCACTGACTATAGAAGTGGGCGGTCCATGGTGAGTGACCCACCTCTCAGAAAAGGTTGTTCTCACAGTCGGGACCCTAGCTACTTCTGGCAAGGGGATGAACTCTGAGTATTTGGAGAACCTGTCCACGCAGACCATAACCTGACGCATGCCACGAGGGGTGGTCTTGCCTAGATCTGTGAAGTCAATCGCCACAGATTGGGCAGGGCCATCAGGTATAGGTAAGGGTTTGAGCAGTCCCAAAGGAGGTCTACGTTGGACCTTATTGCTTTGGCAGAGCTCACAGGTGTCCACATAGCGCAGCATATCACTCCGCATCTCCTTCCAGAAGAAGCGCTGCGACAGGGCTGCATAAGACTTTAGGAACCCAAAATGTCCACGGGCATCATGACACTCTGACATCAGCAGTGTCCTGAGCCGCTGGTCCTGGGGAATGCACAAGCGCTCCTCACCTCTGCTGTAAGTGTACAACAAGTCTGAACTCAGAGCATAGTCTGGTTCAGAGTTAGGATCTGCTTGCAGATTCCTGACCATGGGTCCGAAAGTCTCATCCTGAGGCAGTAGACGAGCAAGGGTCTGACGGGTCTCCTCTCCAAAGGAGTGAGTAGAGGAGATCAGCGCAAAAGAGTCAGGCCTACGAGAGAGGGCATCGGCTACCTTGTTGTAGCAGCCCTTCTTGTGCTTTAGTTCAAAGTCAAACATGTCAATGAATTGAATCTACCGTGCCAACTTATCATTCAACTCTCCCTGGGACTTCATCCACTGAAGGGTGGAGTGATCTGAGAAGATCTTGAAGTGTCTTCCCAGGAGAAAGTGTTTCCAGTGTTTCAGGGCACAGACAAGAGCATATAGCTCTTTCTTGTAGGTGGAGTCCTGGAGCTTTTGAGTCTTGGTCTTCTTACTCATAAACTCTACATGCCGTAGACCATTCCCATCATCCTGCTGAAGAACTGCCCCAATGCCATACTGACTGGCGTCAGTGGTCATGATAAATGGCAAAGTGGGGTCAGGTAACTTCAGCACAGGCGCACGAGTCAAGGCCTTCTTGAGTCGTGTGAAGGCCAACCGACAGGGAAGGGACCAAAGAAAGGGAGTATCTTTCTTTGTTAGGTTGGTCAGGGGTGCAGCCACTGCAAAAAAGTTCCTGACAAACTTTCTGTAGTATGAGGCTAAACCCATGAAGGACCTGACATCCCTCACTGTCTGTGGCTGAGGCCACTCCTGAATAGCAGCAATCTTGGCTGCTTCAGGAGCCAGGCCATCTCCAGAGATTACGTGATCCAGGTAGATGACAGAGGGAACTCCAAAAGAGGACTTCTCTTTGTTGATCTTGTACTGGCTGCCACGTAATGACTGAAGGACAAGAGCCAAGTGCTTCGCATATTCCCTGACAGTTCGACTGAATACCAGGATGTCATCCAGGTAGACCACCATGAACTTGTCCAGGTAAGGCTTGAAGATGCGGTGCATCTCTGTCTGGAAGGTGCCTGGGGCGTTGCAAAGTCCGAATGGCATGACCAGGAACTCATAAGTCCCATACCTGGTCTTGAAGGCTGTCTTGTAGACATCCTCCTCTGCC